TCAGTGTTTGTGTGGCTTGGCGGTTCCAGCGAGCAGCCGCCCAATCAGGAAGTTTGCTCACAAGTTTCCTATTCTCTTCACAGTCATTAAGTATTTCCAGTCCTTTCACATGAGGCATAGCGTCGTTACATGTATTCAGGAAATCTGAGAAATTTCGGAGTCCTTCAGAGTCCGAGTTTCTCTCGGAATGCTCTTTGAATAGTGAATGGCTGTCCATAGCGATCTTGAAGCCTTTTCCATGCATCCTTGTAAGCTTCCTCATCGTTTCTGTAAAAGATGCCTTCTAGGGTTTTCAGAGCAGACCCAGCAACATACTTCTTCAAGTAGTATAACTTATCTGCTGAGGAAATATGTCTTTTGTCGATGAGTGATTGGAATGAAGCTTTCCACTCTATAAAGTGAATGGGGTCACCAGTAAAAACTGTAGGCTCCGGCATAGGAAGTCTGTTTAATGCTATACTGTCTTGGACAGCTTGTGCAAGGTAAGACACATCAGCATTGGGAGTTGGTGATGATACCCTTTCATTGAGTGTTGGCTTAACTGAGGATGAATACACAGGTTTGTGTGCGGGAATGCTTACAGGCTGTAGCAGTTCATCATTTTGGTTAGCAGAGTGAATGGTTTCTTCTTTGTCATAAACTTCTAGTCTTGCTCTAGCAGCTCTTACCTCTTTTACTGCTTGTAATCTTTCAAACTCACTCCTTTGAGCATCCAGTTCTTTCCTTTGCTTCTCATCTAGAAGTTGTATTTTTTCCCTTTGTTCCTTTTCCTCCATTATCGTTGCATATTCTGCTTCCTTTGCTGCAAGCTCTGCTGCTGCCTCTATTCGTTTAGCCATCAGGATGGAGTTCAGTGAAGGTTGACTTATGGGCGTACTCGACTTTGAGCTGATATGTGAGACCGTAGAACCGTAGATGGAGCGAGCATAATCTCGATCGAGCAATTCACGAAGACGCCCCCTTACTCTCTCAGTGTCAAAGTCTTCATACATACCTGAGATCCTCTCATAAGCAATCTTTACAATATCCTTTGTCACGGCATCACAAGCATCAATTCTTCTTCTTGTACCAGTGGGTGGTGTTGCATAACTTCGAACCTTTATGTATGCATTCATCAGTGTCTCTTTCGTTTTCCAATGTGTCTATAAGTGACGCTAGTTGACTTTCAGGGATGTCTGTTTTCAGCTGCCCTCTTGCCTTTCGAGCCTCATCCTTCCATTTTTCATATGCATGCATAAGCTTTCTCTCTGCCTTTTCTGACTCCTCTCTTTGATATGCAAGCATCCTTTCTGTTGGAATTCGTTCACGGACAGAGTGACATACTTCATTTCTCTTTGTAACTTCAGATCGATCTTCTATCTCATCGTCTGTTTCCTTGTTTTGTGCAACCTTTAATACTTCAATTTCCTTCACAGGAGTGCACAAATTTGATCCTTGGTCTGTCATCATTTACATCAGCAAATGGAATCAACGGGGGCAAGCTCTTACTGTAACAGCCCGGTTGAAGAATAAAGGATTTAACTCGTGCACTGATGTTGTACTGTCTTCCTTTATGTGTTTATTGTCCTTATAGACTTCACAACACCGTAAGAGCTAGAACAGATGAATAAACAATATTGGAAATTGTAATGAATTCTCATTCATAAAAATGAAACAAAAACAATCAACCTTACAGCAACAAAATTACTAAATTAATACTAACATTCATCCTAAATAACATACAATTACTCGTAAATAAAACAAACACATAAAACAGGCATAGAGACAAGATGCGCAATATATGTGTGTGTATATAAGTGCGTAAATGTTCTTGTCTACCTTGTTCTCCTTTCCAACCAGGTGCCAAACAACAAAGTCAAAAAACAAAACAAAATACTGCAAAATAAAACAACAAACAGATGCTTAAATTCACTTAAAAGTGTCCTTAATCCTAAAATCCAACGCCTTGACCCGTTTCCGTCTTTGTGCGCGCTTTCTCCGTATTCGCCATCTCCGTGCATGAGCGGGCTCTGAGCACTTCCATCAAGCCGCCTTTCAAAATAAAGGTCTCTATCGGTTAAATAACTTACTGAGTGCAAAGTAACATTCCAAAATATAACAAACACTTAACTTATATTAAGAAAGGACCGAATTAAATAATATAAGAATAATATATAAATCCTGGAAACTAATTCAAATAACAGAGGGTTATTTACACAGCTACTGTGAGGAGCTTGGGGCAAAGAGAACGTGGAGACACAGGAGAATTCACAATAAACACAGTCTTTAGAAACAAGAAAAAAACAAGAGGCAGAACACATTATAAATACACAACTAAACGAGGTAATTGACAAGACGCACCTGGGAGCAATGAACAATCAAACACACGGGAAAACTAGGTCACGGGGAGCACATGGGGAGGGAAAACACAACAAAACAGGTCCATAACCCTGACATATCGCCCCCCTCCAGGAACAGAGGGAGGGATGGGTGGGAACTTGGGAGGAGGCTCAGGAGGCCGACGGACACCCGGGAGGGGGCCGGCAGACAGAGTCCAGGGAGGGGACGATGGAGGGAGGAGCCAGGGAGGCGACAGGAAGGACTTGGAGCAGGAGGAGCCAAGCAGGACCCAATACCCAGGCCACAGCCATAACGGCGGCCCACAGTGGAGCCGACGGAGGGAGGAGCCATGGAGGAGGAATGGCCACCGACTCCAAGGGGCCGACCTATGGTGGCGGAGCAGGTGGTGGAGGAGCCCGAGGCGGAGACTGAGAGCCGATGAGCCAGGGCAACGGGGAAGATCCGTAGGTCCTAGGCGGAGCAGATGGCTCCAGCGCCCGACGTGAAGGCATGGATCCGGGAGGCCGCGGTGGAGCCGGAGCGACAGAGGACTGAGGAGGAGCCGAGGGGATGAAGGAGCTTGAG